TCACCAAATCAAAGAAGAGTCAAAAGCTTCCACTACCATATTGGAGAAAATGTTTTTATCATTGTGTGAAGTAAAACTAACACAAAACTCACTTGTTTCTTGCTAATTTTAAGATGCTTTACTTAATCAAGAAATTAGCCAACTAATCACCACAAACATTTAAACTCATGAATAAAAAACTACAAGTAGTGACAAGATGTTAAAACATAAAACATTTTCATAAAGATTCAAACACAAGTTCATGGAGTCTTCAAAATTCAACAAATAGTCAAAGGATTTCACCAACGTCAACCAAGTTTTGTCTAGCCAAGCATGGCTAAACTCAAGAAAACAAAGTTAGTAAAGATTGTACCCAAAATTTGACAAGAATCAAGAGATGAAAAGATGATGTTCTTGAGGTGCTTTTGGCCTTCAAAAGTCTTCCAAACTCCAGAGAGAATGTCCCAAAATCGGATGTCCAATATAATGCTAAAGAGGCACACCAACCTTCCCAATATAGTGCTCCAAACAAAATCCAGAAATGTCCCTGCAGGAATCCATGCGGGCTGAGTGGAAACCTTACGCAGGCCACGTGAGTGTGACAGACTTTTGGCTTTTTTCAAGTCTTGAGCCTCTACAACTTAACCATTGGCCCAGATTGAGTCAGATCAGTTTCTAGCCCATTTTTCTTCAAGATGTCTTCAATTTGAGCCCAATTTGCCTTTTCTAAACGATTCATAGCTTCCGCAAACACCCGATCATCAATCTCCACATACTTGAAAAATCCCCAGCATATCGTAAATTTAAAGTTTATTTTTTCCAAGCCTTCAAGTAATTGACAAGCCCACTCCATGAATCATCTCCATAGCCATCAATCTTAAAATTCTTGATGAATTCTAAGACCAATCGCTTCCTAGAGATCCCGCTCCGCTACTCTCTGTAAAACCTGCAATTATGCTCACAAAATTTGAAAGTACCCGAAATGGCCATTAAATAACAAAAAGGAAAATATGCATGGAATTTAACTAAATTATGAATGAAATATGCTAAAAAAAACTATAAAAAGAAGTAAATAAAATGAAAATATCAAAGTTCATAACTTTTTACCTCAAAGAAGATGGAAATGGAGTAAATAAACGAGATCCACAAGCTCTTCCTTGATCCGCCACTTGCACCAAGCTTCCATTTCTTGAATATGAACCAAAACCACCAAAAATGAACACAATGAGCTCAACACACAAAGGAGAGGCTTAGGGTTCGATGTTTGAGGCTATAGGGATAATGAAGGTTGAGAAATGAGGGTTTCATAGTCCATAATGATGTTTATATAATGCCCAACCCCGAAAATTAGGGTTTCTAAATGACTCACGTACGCCGAATGTACGTGCCCGGAGTCTTGATCCTGCCTCGCATGAGTACGCTAAGCGTACCATGTGGTACGCCTCCCCCGTGAGGGTACTCGCTTTACAGCTTGTACTCTAAGCGTACCATGTGGTACGCCATGCGTACAACTCAGGGACCAAAATGCAACATTAATAACAATAAATGCCAAGGAAAAACTTACCAGGATTCAAGTGTTACATGGATTGTATTGGTTAATTTGATTTTGATTCATTTTTTTAAGTTATTATGTTCACCCTTATATAATGGAGACTCATCTCCGCCCATAACACTTTTTTGGACTCTCGCAAAATATTCTAACAAAAAATCCTAACATAAGTTTTCTAGTTATTTTTGAAAAGAGTAAGTATGGATTCAATGAACCAGGTTAATTTATATTTATGAAATAAACTCATAATGAAAAAATAATTATTCGAAATGCAATGAATGAGTTTGGAATATGATGAACAATGTTTGAACTTTTTTTAAAGCATGGACTATGTTTTTTTGTCTGTTTGTTATTAGATTCTTTATATACTAGGCATTGCGACAATATGTATGCACTATAAACAATCTTACCTAATTGAGAAAAACAATTTTTAATAGAAAAACTATTCCAGAATACATTGAACAGTCTCGTATTGACTGATCAATGATAGTGATGTTTTATTTCTTTTCGTTTGGTTAGTTGTTAAGTGTTATAGAAGGGGCGTAGCCAATATAGGGCAAGAGTGGGCATTAGCCCACCTATACAAAATTAAGCTTATATATATAACTCCCAGCCTTGATAAGGATATTATCCTATACTGGTGTATGATGTTTTTGGATGTTGATAAGTATACAAACTAATTATTGGAAATATATGATCACAACAAGTTATTGATATTTTTATATATAGCAGTCTTTTCGGGTTATAAACAATACACGATTTAAGCACAATATAGCCTAAAATAACTGAAGGGTCTAGTTTGTTAATTCATCATAAAAACAATAAGCAATTAATAGACTTTTAGGGTTTATGTGGAAATAAGTATTACTTTGAATTAATAGTAATTATCCCACATATAAAAGGAGAATTCTACCAATGCAAATAAATATTAATTTGAATTGATAGTAAATTCCCTCCAACTCTCTTAATCTCTCGGTTCCTCTCTCATAATCTTGACATTCTACACCTCCTTAATAATAGGGTTCGGTTTTGGCTATCTAGTAAGGAAGAAGGAAGTCATTGTTGCTTGATGTTGATATTGGGTTCTACTACAATAGATGGATTGCGTTTGGGCTCTCCGATCATCCAAGTGAAACCAAAAAATCTCACTAGACTTCTTGTTGTCGTTTTTATGTTGCTATTAGTTCCTTGAATAAGATCCATGGTGTTGTTTATATTTTTATGCATCCGAATAAAAACATGTCTATTTTGGTTTATTTTTGGATCAGGTGAATATGACTTATTATTTGTTGGATTCGACATCTGCAAAATGGAAAAGGAAATAAAAGTGCTAAAAAGAGAAAAATTGAGATTTTTTTTATTCTTTATCCACTCAACTCGGTCAAGTCGAGTGTATTACTTGGTTTACATGATTTTCCAACTTATAAATATCCATGAAGTCATTATCTCAATATATCTCGATTTTAAGTAGCAGAAGATGCTTGGAGAAAAGGAAACATTGAAGAACACAATTCAGAGAAACATATTGGTATTTTGATCGTTTAACTTGGAAAAACTTACTTTGGATTCATGTTTTTAGCCATGATAAACTAAAAACATTTCTTTTTCGGGTTTTAGTTCGATTTTCGACTATATGTGATTGATATCGTCGGATTGATATGTTAGATTTGTTTTTAATAAAGTGATTTATGTTTTAGTTTTAATAAAATAATTAAGTTTATGCTTTTTCCATGAATGACCACTTGAATTTGTTTTAGTTATAGTAAAGTTAGCTGATTATAAAATTTGTAGTTGGTTTATGAATTAACACAAGTAAAAAAACATTTAATTGGTTCTAAATTAGGATTTAACTCATTGTAAATATAAAATCATATATTTTTACGCTTTTGATAATATGAGAAGTATCGAATATTAATATGAATACTTATAACGAATCTAATGCAACTTTTCAATCTAAATCTAAGAACTTATTTGACTTAAGATTAATAAGTTAGATCTACTTAAAGAGTTTATTTTGACTAGTAATTTAACATGTAAAAGTAATATAAGAGCTCATTATGTTAATGGTACCAAAGTAGGTTAAAAACTATATATGCATCAATCCCTGATCAATTCCATAAAGTTGGATAAATATGCAACCTGAATTGTCTCAAAATTCGATTTCAATGAAAACATAGTCTTTGCTCCTTTTATTGCATGATAATTTTAATTTTCGTTTTAGATAACAAAATTTCCCTTCTTTTATTTATTTATTTATTATTTAAAGTGTCAAGTCAAGTCAATACTTTTCAATTGTTATGTGTCCTTCCAGATTCCATCCCTATTTTGGATGTACTATTTTTTATTGGTTTAAAAACCTAAAACTTTTCATGACGTTGTTGTCTCTTGATGTGAATTTAAAGTGCCTAGACGATCAAAGAGTAAAGTTGGATGATGGATAATTGGTGTTCAACTCTGAATGAAGTAGGAACATTTTTATTTATTTGTTAGATGATATTGCTCAGCTAGAATGTCAATACTCTTAGGCCTGGTTCAAAGGCATATGGTTGATACATTGAGTTGGTTGCTTGAGGCTAATGAGATATTCTCTTTCTTTTCCATCCATTATGATTTTGATGATATGTTTCTTGTTCGTGGCTCTATTGAGGTGGAAGTAGAATTGTTTGTTCCCCCCAAAAGTTAAATATTTTAGGCTGATGTATATATTATGCTACGAAGACTTCCAAAACCTTCTAATCTTTACAAGCTAGGCATTGTTTTGACTTTGATGATTCACCCTATCTACTTCTGTTGTTGAAACACTAAATTGCATGTCTTCATTGAATGTCTACTGTAAAATAAGGTGTAGATCTCCATTTCCATATGGAGGACTAATTTCATGTTTTAACTCTCTTCATTCGAAGAATTATTTAGGTTTTATAAAAGAGGGGAAAGATCCGGGTTTACTCGATAGATCAAAGATGCGGCGGTGTTTAAGTTTGTTTATATGGGTGTTGTGGAGATTCTCGTAACACGTGTCTTCATCATGTTCCTGTAAGCGATAATGTAGCTGATGAAGTCTACTATTTAGTTCTACTTTGGTAAATAACCTAACGAAAAGAGCACTTTAAATCCAGTTAATTGGTCTTGTATTTCGATAACCTAATCTAACACTTGCGTGTGCACATAGTTTCTTGTTCACTACTAGAAAACGGTTAATAGAGTTCGGTTGAAATTGTAAATATAATACGTACATAGAGGCCGTATTAGTAGAGGGGTGTATTAGATTACATGAATAATAGAGTACGACTATTTGACCGTATTATATTATCCTATCTACTTCTTACAACCATCGCATACAATCATCTAATACGCCATATATACACATCTAATACACCAATAAACAACCGTACTTTATGTCTCACATCCCCTTTGCATTCCAGAGGTAGCCTTATTAAATAGACAACTCCACTCCAATTCCACTCCAACCTTATTAAACAGCCAATTCCAGTCCATGGATGTAGTGGAACACATGGATCACCATTCCAACTGAAACAAACTTTTCAATTTCTGCAAAGCTACTATATGATTACCATGTGAATTGTAACCGAAGGATCAATCTCTACAAAATACAAACCTACTATATGATTCCATTCCAACCATAAGAAGTGGGACATCACTGATCATGTTTTCATTTTCAGAAGTAGGAAAAAAAAAATTACAATGAACTTAGTTCATTAAACAGAAAAAAATTTGTTAATGTCACATCTCTAACCTCTCTTTCCCCTTTGTCACCTCTAACCTCTCTTTCCCCTTTGTGGTTGATTCATTGTATGCCTACAAAAATTAACAAGAAAACTTAGGATTCAAAATCTCAAATAACTTTTAACCAAGAAAACTCAAATTATAGGACCTTTCTGCCATTAACAACTTCATCTATAGCAATGCAAGGGTGAAAACTTCTCCAGAACATAAAAAATATGAGCAAATACAACATGAAATACAATTTGTGTACCTTACAAAAAGGCTTCACTTTATCACCAAAAGTTTTCATCCATATTTTAACACGTTCCTCCAATTCCTTACTAGAAAATGGTTTTTTGTCCTTCCAAATGTTCTACAAACAAATTAAGATAAAAAAATTATTATTTAACAAAGGTGAGCCTTTATTACAATAAACAAAAATGAAAAAAAAATATCTAACAATTAGAAATAGTAAAACATAATAATATTATAAATAAGAATAAACTCAAACATACCTCAAATTCTTCCGTGGATTTTAGAACAAGGAAATTTTTCCACATTGCTTTGTTAAGGTGCGGGTATTTTTTTACTGGATTGACACCATTGTCCCACAACTTAAGAAGCTCCGACTTGTAGGCCTTCCAATGCGTGTTGCAATCTCTAAGTACTTGTGCTTTATGATCATCATCTCGTATATGCCAATAATTCTGCTTTTTTAAATAAAAAATGAAGATAACAACTTTTAGGTATTTGATATGATACAACTTGTATGATAGAAGAGAATAACATGGCAGGAAATTGTGATTGCTAGTATTAAATGATATCAAAAGTGTGCTGAATTGAGTTTTACCTTTATGTTTAACCACAATTGATCTTTGTCACATTGATCCACTGAATCCCAACTATCTATCAGGATAGAAATCATCTTCCTCATAGTCACTCCACGATAACTGGTGAACTTAAAGCGGTTAGGTCCAATAGCTCTACCAAAGTGATCGAACTAAACTATTAAATCTGATAGATATTCTTTTGAGTGATCTCTGATCAATGTCACACTTCTCTTTTTCTTTTCTGGAGGTTCCATTGTATTCCTACAAAAGCATAAACACTCATATAATTAATTCTAAGAGTCTCGAACACCAAAAAAAACCAAAATTTTATATAAAATTGAAGATACCAAAGGTAAGTTTATACCTGGCTTCAAGATGTTTCGTTTTGGGTTTACCAACACTTCTTTTTCTGTTTTTTCTTTCTACCATATGGATCCTCTTGCTCTTGGTTGTTTTCCCTAGTACCTCATCCATATGTAATGGAAAATTTCCGATGTATAACCTCAAACCTGGTTATAAGAAACTAAGCATAAAAATGATGATAGAAAATGATGAGGGTAAAGATATGTTAAAGATTATGACTTAATCCAAATAATGAGAAGATTATGACACGTTTTTTATAGTAGATCAAAACATAAAAAAAAATCATACCAAAAAAATGTGATAGAGACCTTGATGGTTATATAACATAAAAATAAGGACCAAAATTGTAAGAGAAAGCTTTTAAGGACCAAGATAGCTACCGCACTCTCAAAAGAAATATGATGCAATTTATAATCAAATACAGCAAAAAAGAATTACATTTGATGGGAAAAAAAACAAATATGATGCAATTTATATTCAGCCCCTATTGATGGGTACTGCAAGAATGGTCAAATAAAGGCAGTTGTCCGCATGGCAAATTTGTGTGAGGTTTTTGGGCGTACGGTAAGATGTTTGAATGCTATAAATGTAGGAAAGACAACTAATTTTATATAATATTTGTGTGAGGTTTAGGCTCCCAAGTCCCATCAATTCAGCCCATTTGTTTTTATCTATGTTGACAAGTTAATGGTGTAGCACAATTGCACAGTGACATCTTAAAGGCAGAGTTATTTGCAGATTATGTGTCAATATGACCAAACAAGAAATTTGGGCATTACTCCTATTCGTTGGATTAGATTTTGTAGTCCTGAACTTAATCAGATCATAACAAAATGGTTAAAAACAGACAAGTAAAATGCATTATTTCCATCTGCAGAAAATAAGTATCTAGTAACTACTTGTGGGTCTGCAGGAGGTACAAGTAACTAGTTTAAGTGCAATTAGATTATCTCACAACCTGCTCTTCCCTAAGCTTAATCTTTAACCCTAACCAAAAAATTTCAAATAAGAAACTAAGGTTTTTGGAGGTGTGTTGATTTTCACCATGAATGGTGATTTCAAACCTTGTAGATTAAAGAGATAAAAGTATGGAAGCAAAACCACCTACCTTTTGGACTTAATGTAGGAGAACTTGAAGAAGGTTTGAAGTTTTATGATGCTATGGATGGTTTTCCACCAAAGAGGTTAGAGAGAATGAACAAAATAAGATGCTGCCAAACTTCTAATTCCCTTTCATTTACTTTCATTACTTGTAACGTGTTCATATGCATTGACATCTGTTTGAGAGTGCATTAAAATTGTCATATCCTTTAACAAGTTTTCAAACACACCCTGGCTTGGACTAAATCAAATATTACACTCTTATCATTGCATGCATAGTACACTCTTTTGAAAGGGTATCTAATATTCTAATGTGTTTATATTTACAATAATTATGTAGATTTATAAAGAAAATGTTGCAAGTAGAATAATTTCAGCAACCAACTATATCCTTTGCAAAATGTAGCTTAAGTTCAACCTTGAACAATTTCAAATTTCCTTATTCAATTTCAAACCTTCATACAAAAGCTAATTTCACAGCAAATAGTGATTCTGTGTCACATAAGTGGCAAAATTGTGGTAACCTTGAAATCAGTTAACAACTGATCAACTAACTCGATTGGAACAGAATTAGAAAGTTTGGCAACCAAGAACTGAATCATTAATAATAGATGAAGTAGTTTTATATTTATATCCAACAACTTAGCATAATGGGATTTACAGAACAACTATAGCACTACTGGTGTATACAGCTCCTCTTATACCAGGAAGTGAGGTGTCACAGCATATAAGAACAGCTGGAATGGAAGCTAATGGGACAAGTAATATGAAATTTGCACTCAATGGATGCCTGATTATAGGAACATTAGATGGGGCTAATGTTGAAATCAGGAAGGAAGTTGGAGAGGACAATTTTTTTTTCTTTTTGGAGCAACAACAGATGAAGTTCAAAACAGAGTCGATGATGCTTTCTAGGGTTATCAACCAGAAATATGAAGTAATATGTCGTACACAGAGAAGACATTGTCATAAACACAACATTAATCAACGAATAAATCAACTACACCCAAAGTCCGAGCGTACCTGTAAACAACGTGAAAGAAGGAGGTAGAAGCGGCTGTAGGCCGGAGTAGGAGACTTCGTCTGTCTCGTCGACCGGAGACCGGAGGCGGAGGCGTCGTCAATCGGAGGCGGAGGCTTCGTTGCCCAGAGGCGGAGGTGTCGTCGGCCGAAGGCTAAGGTTTCGTATAAACAACTCTAAGTAATAGAGCTGGAGAATTTTATTCGTCGTGGAAGCAAGTCAAAATCTCTATTTCTGATGTACCTGCGAACATCCGTCTAAGTTTTAAAATAAACGTAATGAACAACTTTGTTATTTAATTTTTTATTTCAAGTATTTTTACTCATAACAATCTCCGATTGAATTTAATTGCGTCATCGTATTTTCTTCCCTTGTACTCGACATGGAATATATCAAAGCATTAGTATAGTAACATGGCTTGATAAGATTAAATAAGAAATTTTAGTGTTTCTTTTTTTCCTAACAGTAGTCCCTGTGATTTCTTTTCATCATTCAACAAACTGCTTTTTTTTTTATCTGAAAACCGATAACAAACCTAAAATAATAAAAAATAAAAATAAAAAAAGTCACTTGTGTTACCCCACAATTCTTCTTACATGAAACAAATCATAAAAAATAAAAATTAGGATGAAAATACAAAAAAGATAAATTACAGAAAATAGTCAAGTGGTTGAATCAATAAACTGAACAAGAACTGCTACAATTATTATTATTAAAAATTGAGGGGTAATATTGACCTTTTGGCACAGTTATTGTACTAAACTGCAACTTTATGAAGGATGAGGGCAAAATGGGAATTCGATTATTGCTTGAACTGGTTGCCCAAACCTTGGGTCATTCCTAAGGTCTATCCAAGATCGCCCATTCGTGCTTTCATGGCCTATAAAGGGGCAAAATGGTCAAATTAAAAATATATTACCCCAAGGGTAAAATTGTACTTTTATATCATCATACAAACCTGGACACTTTTTTGATGCACATCTCTATATGCTTCTGTTATGTACCTCTCTTTTGTTATGTACCTCTCTTTTCTATTCTATGACAGGAATGGAATCAGTCATTCCATTCGCCTATCAATTCCATTCCTTTGTGAATAATGGTTTTGTGAATAATCAGTCATTTTGTGTTTCTGGACAATGCAAATGGATTCCACTCAACAATGTTAATTTTAATTTTCTAGTCATTTGATTTTCAAGTTTTTACATTTACAATATAAGATTTTTATACTTTAGACATTCAATTGTTTAATTATTTAAGTCACCAATCATAAAAAAAGTAAATAAAAAATAAAAAATAAAAAATAAAAAATAAAAAAATCCGACTTTCCATTTGTTGACTTTTTGACCGACTTTGACAGAGCCCAATATCAAAATGAAGACCGAAGAGGAGTATGTTGAAATTTCTATAGCCCTTGCTTGTTGTTTCTTTATGTATAGATAACAACATCTAACAGAAGCAAATAACACAACATATATAATAAGCAAAGCAATTAACACATCTATCTAACAACTGCAAAGCCAATTACTATTTCAAAAAAAAATTGTTATCCCAACAGTTTGTGATGCTTAACTACTCCGGGACTCAAAATTCTATCAACAATTACTATAAATTTTTTTTGAGACTGCTGATCAGGAATCCTCAGAGGAAGATATGCCAAAATAACCATATTGACCTTTTTAATTCTCTAATCCTTCTTTGATGTACCTGAAAGAAAGTGAGCAACCAAACCATGAATGAAAGGGCAATTTGGTCATTTGATTAACACTCAACTCAAGACATTTTTAATGAATCCATTAGTGGCATCACACTAGGAAAACTTTGCATCTCCATCAAAGCCAAAACGCTTCCTTGTCCTTCGTGAACAGTTGTAGTTCCTTTGTATTTGTATTTCTGCTCTTGTTTTTCTGTTGCAAAAACAGAATTCAAATCTCTTACCTTTAAATTTGAACCGCTACCTGTGTTTGTCTATTGCAAAAACAGAAATCAAAGCTCTTACCCTTTAAATTTGAACCGCAGGTCCGGTGGTGGGATTTTCAGGTTAGTTGAATTATTGGAGGTGCTAGGTGTGGCGAGGCTGGCCAATGATGATGGTGCTGCGACAGAGGAGATGGAGATGAAGGACCGATTAGTGTGGGAGGAGGAAGCTAAGTATGTGAGGAGGAGGAGGCGTATTCAATTTAGGTATTAGTTGTACTTAATCAAAATGGGGGCGTATTTTTAGTTATTTGATTTTGTTTCTAGTACATCTCATTAACCGTATTAGATGCTGCAATTAACCGTATTAAATGCTGCAATTGTGTGTATTATATTTATTTATCCCTTTATAATACGGGTTTTTTTACAACCGTATTAGATGGGGGTGTACTCTAAAGCCAATTTTCCGGTAGTGGTTGCTATTTTTCTTATAAATAAACTATTGTTTAAAAAATAATAATGTTGTTTTAGATTAATATACGAAATGAAAACGACTACCAAAGTGCACGTTGGTATAAAATATAACTGTATTGTTGAAGGTATAAAAAATATAGTATTGTAATAAATTAGATTCAAATTTAATGTATAGGGAAAAAGAAAAAAGAAATAAAAAAGGTAATGTTAAAACTTGAATAAAAAACGAAATCAAAGAAAATATAGAATTTCAATTGAAAAAAAAAATTAAAAAAAAAAAAGGAAACAAAGAAACAACCCTATCTAGGCGACACTAGTCACTAGTAGTTAATTAAGGTTCCTTAAATATGGCAAGTACACACAAAAAAGGAAAGGATTTATATCAACAGTTCAACACACGAAATCTGAGATACTTGCCCATCAAGGCTATGAAATCGCCCTATATCCCAATTACACTCCCTATATAAATCAGTAACCCCTTCTTCGTTGTTCAATCATCATCATACATTCATCAACCATGTTGATACTTTCTTCGATCATACCTTCTTCAGCCATGGCAACTAAAAGAAAAGTACGTGAGCAAGAACCAGTAAACATCGAG